GAGAGGAGAAGGGAGAGAGAGGAGAAGGGAGAGAGAGGAGAAGGGAGAGAGAGGAGAAGGGAGAGAGAGGAGAAGGGAGAGAGAGGAGAAGGGAGGAGGTGCTGAAGACTTGATGAATCAGTTCCCTCAAACACTTCTCATTAATCACATTAATTAGCAGACAACATCACACCTTACAGAACTGTCCTGCTTGAGGAGCAATTCCTCATTCTCCCTAAAGATGCCATGAAATGTGCCTGATTCCTCAGAGAACCCCTCGACTCACCCTTCAGGATGCTGCAGAACAGAAACCATCAGCTCCACTGCCAGGGCTCCGGCCACCATGGCCAGCCCAGGCCGGCTGACYGTGCACTGCTGGTCCAGTGTCCGATCCCTGGTGGACTACAAAACAGACACTTGTAAAAGAAAGAGAAAAGTAACCCCAAAGTAACCCCCYGCCCTGTACAAAACACCTCTAGTGCTGTGCAATGAATCTTCCAAATAAAAATGAGCTGATACTTCACCMCGTGTGCATCAACATAAAGCAAATCCCTTCCTAAAACATCATTAAAACCAAATAAAAACTCAAATCACAACAAAAGAGATTTATTCCCCGTCTGCATGAGGTTCTACTCACATCCCCTGGTGCCACAACATCGTTGCAGAAGTAGCAGCCCAGTTTATAGCCAGGGATATTTGAGAAGAGTGAGGATCCCAGCAGATCAGAAGAAGCAGAGGCATTGCTGAAGCATGAATCACCAGATTCTTGCTGTTTTGGTTTCTTCAGGCCGTGCCTCATAACAACAAAAGTGTCAAATCCCAAGGCAGCATTGATGACCAACTGTGAACAATAAAGTCAGAACAACAGATTTTAAGTGAGCCAAAAAGGGAAGAGGAAAACAAAGTCCTGAAGGTTTTATTCACTGTAAATGCCAAAACCCCCACATGCTGTAGATGGATGAGCAACCCATTAACTGCATATTTACCACCTCAASCATAAACAACAGAGTTTCTGAAAGGTGCAGAGCTCCAGTTGTCAAGCACTGAGAAAAAACAAAACCAAAATAAAAGGCTGCTTCAGAAAGCCCCAAGCCCTCGCCTTAGTCTGTGCCTTTCAGGGAAATCCAAACGAGTGACTCCCTCTAGCTGTCACACAAACCTAGGCATGCTTGCTGACAAAAAACTAACRGCAACTTCGAGCAGTCAAATGCCATCTGTTATCCAAAACAATTTCTGCTCAGTAAGGAAAGCAATTAATGATTACTTATGGTCTTCATCTGCATCTGCTTAGTCACATGGGGAGCAGCAGCAGCTGTGCTGCACAATCCTCTGTCCTCATTTCCCCCTGCTCTCCCCTCTGTGGCAGTGCAAAGGGTGATCTGAAGCRCTGTGCTATGAGCACAATATTGATACAATAACCACTGCAGCCAGCAAAATGTAAAGGAAGATAAATGGCTCCATGGGCAGATACTTTTGATAGAAATCTGGTGCAGCAGTTTCTCATTTTCCATTCTTACAGGCAGGAATTATTTAAAAGGAGAATGCTGAGGGGAGCTCTCTCTAGAATTAGTCATCTTCATTAGCAAGCTTGTGAGTCTCATCATCATTCTCAGTATTTCAAATCATTTCTGGATATTCTCTTTCAACCCTGGAGTGGCTTATTTTTCCTCAGTCCTGAAGTGGAACCACGCTGTTAAATCTCTCCAGAGTTTCAGCAATTAAAAGATTGCATTTTCTCTCTGYATCTACCTGTAAAACCTGAATATGGTGTTCCACTTCAAAATATGAGGAAGAAACCATGGCTGATATTATCAGAAATTAATAATGGTGCTAAAYAATTCCAACTGGCATCAGCTGTTTTTTTCTTCTCAGTTTACTGGCTGGTGACTATTTCAATCTAACTGACCCTTAATAAAAAAAAAAATCATCTGGTTTTGATAAAGAGACACTGGAAAAATATCTTTTGGCATGCATTAAAAAAAATACAAAATAAGCAAAATTTTCCAAGTTCCAGTGCTCAGTAGGAACAGAGATTTAACATCTGACAGGAGGATTTCACATTTGAGGGGTTTRTTTGTCCACGGTGCTTGTTTTGGGGGATGGACTGCAGGAATGGCAAAGATCATCAAGGCAACGGAATAAGGGGGGAAACAACTTTTCTTTCCACCCACAGACCTGGATTTGTGCACTTTACACAAATTATCACTCACTGTGCTCTTTTTTTGCCTGTTCTGAGAGCTTGGGGAGCAAACTGTGCAGTGCTTGAGATCTGCAGGTGCCACACAAAATCAAATTTGAAGTGGAGCTCTCGCTCAGTGTTTACCAACATGAAATAAGAGCATTTGTTTGGACACCTTGAGATTTCCCTGCTGTGCTGTTCAGTGACAGAGAATTCTATCTTCTCTGATCAAAATGATGTTATTGAATCAACCAACTGTGATGCAGACACACTATACCATTGAGCAACAGAGGAATGTCACCAAAAATGACAGAATTTATCCTCAAAATGATTTGAATGCAAGGGAAATGCAGAGGGGCTCTGCTGGCTAAGGAGAGCAGAGGGAGGGAAGTTTTGGAGATCATAAAAGGAGGGAAGTTCCCTCTGTGGGTGGGAAGTTTYGGAGATCATAAAAGCACTGTATCCYGATTKAACCAGGAAGATCACATAGAAAATGTGCACAAAAACTGCTTCTATGGCTGAAAATTACCAATCATCATACATGTGAAGAGCAGGCTGGCACTTCCCATTTCAACACCCAGCTTTCAAACTCACTGTTTTTGTTATTGTTGTGCTGGTTTTGAACAGCTAAAAGATTGCTGCAAGACCACAGGTGCAAACTGCAGCAAGGACAGGAAGTTCAAGGAGGAGCTGCTGAAGTTGTCAGGTTACACAGATTTACACCTGAGGTTGTAACTCAGTGAATCCCACATTGAAGGGACACACTGATCTCTCCTCTGGCAAAGGGCAGCTCATTTGAGCTGGAAAGACAAAAAAGCTCATTGTTCAGGGCCAGAAATGTATTTAAAATAAGGAAAGAATGAAAGAAAATTAAAAAATGGAATAACACAGTACCTTCCTCTTGCTRGCTGCAATGACAGCAGGCAGCCACCGACTCTCCCGAGTGTCCATCAGCAGRAAAACCACATCGTGGGCATCAATGAGCTCCTCAAGCTTTGCCACATCCTTCTGAGCCTGGGCCATTGTCACCTCCGAGAAATTCACTGGGTGGCCTGGCATGGGGATGCTCATGTTATAACCCTCTGAGATCTGGGGGGAGACATACACAAACCAAATCATGTTAGAACCCTCTGAGATCTGGGGGGGGCACACAGAGAACAAATCATGTTATAACCTCAGTTATGAAGAGGGCACACACAAACCAAATCATGTTATAACCTCAGCTCTGGGTGGGGGGGGGCACATAGAGAACAAATCACGTTATAACCTCAGCTATGGAGAACACAGAGAACAAATCATGTTATAATCTGAACTCTGGAGGGGGGCACACAGAAACCAAAGCATGTTATCAGCTCAGCTTTGGAGGGACACACAGAAAACAGATCATGTTAGAACCTCAGCTCTGGGGGGACACAGAGAAACCAAATCATTTTATAACCTGAGCTATGGAGGGGGCACACAAAGAACAAATCATGTTATAACCCTCTGAGCTCTGGTGGGAGACATACACAAACCAAATCTTGTTATAACCTCAGCTCTGGGGGGCACACAGAGAATAAATTATGTTAGAACTTTCAGAGCTCTGGGACGCGGGAGGAGCACAAAGAAATCAAACCATGGTATAACCCTCTGAGTTCTGGGGGAGACACACAGAAAACAAACCATGGTATAACCCTCCGAGCTCTGCAGGAAGCACACAGAAACCAAATCATGTTAGAACCTGAGCTCTGGAGGGGCACAGAGAACAAACCATGTTATAACCTCAGCTCTGAGGTGGGCACGCAGAGAACAAACCATGTTATAACCCTCTGAGCTTTCAGGAAGGCACACAGAGAACACTGGGTTAAAAAGGAGAGACTGGATTGATATAAAATTCAATGCAAATCATAGAGTACAAATTCAGCTCCTGCTGGTCAGAATGGCAGCTCTGCTCTTCACATCTCTCTGTGTGTCAATGCTGTGCACTAAAGCACGGGGCTGGAGTTTCTGAGTGTGCATTTATCCAGAACATCCCAGTCTCTGGGAAATCTCTGGGAAATCACCACAAGAACACAGTGGAACTGCTCCTAATSCCAGGGGTTACAAACATCCCTAAAAACCCAAGCAGCCACATTCACATATKATTACGATCTGTTAAACTTACCTAAAACCTGCATTCTCTTCCCAGCCCCTTCCCCCACCATTTTAACAGGCTGCAGTTTATATTCCTGCAGAATATTCACTCAGTTACAGCCAGACACGTGTGCAGTATCACACACTCTGTTCTTCATTTCAGTTCCTTAGGAGAGCAACAATAGTCTCAAATGATTTCTCTGTAACTCCCCCAGACATGTGTGAACTTGAGACAGCAGAAAAGCACCTCTGAGTGCAGAGCTTGGCTGTCTGGGGACTTGCACTGTGCAGATGCTGCAGGAACCTTTCCCTCTTCCAGCCCCTTTTTGGGCAAGCCATAGGGAGAGTGAATATTGAGCCAAACAAGCATTTACACAATGTACAGAAACACAAACAATGAACTCCCTCCTCTGGAAATGGGGTAGCACAATCTGCCAGCCATCTGCTGGAAGGGAGAATGGATCCTCAGACAGGATACAGAGCCTTGCCAAAGCCTCCCTGCTCCTCACTGCACTCTCAGCAACTGGAAATTAAAATGCAAAATGTAAAAGCTGGAGGGACCAAGTGTAAAATTCCACGGGAAGAGAGGAAAGGAAGGCTGGTGGAATGAGCTTTTGAACAGAACAATCAATTACCAGCACAACTCAGAAACCCAGGTGGGTCAAATGAGCAGAAGGGTGAAAACATATCCTGAACATCAAAAGGATAAAAAGAACCAGGCCCCGGTAGCAGCTTGGAGAAATGAGTGTGGGTAATATCTGCATTAACCATTCCAAAGGATACATCTTTTATCCCCCTCCTTCCCCTCTGAACCATCATCACAGACCTCAGGAAATTCTTGCAGGAGATTCTCCTTTCAGTGTCATTCCTCCAAAAGGTTGTGGCAGCAACACAAAACTTAATCCATGCTGTTTTTATGGATAACTCATCAAGTCCTTGCCTTGCATCATTAGATCAGCTCACCTGACACTGCTCGTGACTTAAGAGAGCAATTTTTGTTCAATAAATTCAAAGAAATAAGCTGGACACTAGCAGCACAGAAAAATGGTAATGAGGTTTGTAAACCACTAAGTTCTTACCAGAATTCAGAAAAATTCTCATCCAGGGACTGCAGCTGCAGGAATAGAGGAAAGTCTGGCAGACTCCACAATTTTATTTGAATAACTGCCCATCAAAAAAACCACACCACTCACCAGCCAAAGTGGCTGGGGTGCACTTTGGCAGCCAAACACTGGCAAAAAAAGGCACAGTGATATTATTGTAAGGAGAAGCAAACATGGATATATCCCCAAAAAAAGGTCTTGCTCATTCTACAGAATTCCAAAACCTCAGGAGTCATGACATGACAAAAAGAATTTCGCTTGATTGCTCACAAAAAAGTTTGGATTTTTAAGACCAGAACCTAAGAAAAGTTTTAAAATGCCTCCAAATTATCCAAGGCAAAATACTGAGTTATTGTCTCATCAAGTATTAGAATGACACATTTCTTTTCAAAAAAGGGACCATTTGTTGACATGTGCAAAATAATAAAAGAGAATGCAATTTGCATTGACAGCTGACCCAAGCTGTGCTTGAGGCTCCAGTGCTTTTGGGTTTTGTGAAGTTTTTTTTTGAAGTAAGCAGGCATCAAAAYATTGCATAACCATAACCTTTTCTCTCCATTTTATTCATTTGTGCATTAACTTTCTGCATTTTTGCTTGAACCATGGCTCAGATCACTTACAATTTGACTGTGCTCCATACATTAAACATTAAAGAGGTATGTGGCTACAGCAAATTTTAAGGCCTGGGTGTTGCCTTTATTTAATTGCTCTGTAAGAAGGTCCTACATGAAGTGGCCCCTCATTCAGAATAAAACAAAGGGTGGTAAGATCCTAAATACCCTGGAATTCCATGGATGGAGAGCTCAGGGAATGATTGAATAGGAGAGGGAAGAAAGCAATCCCACAGCAGCTCTGGGAATGACTCTGTGCATGACCTAYTTGTAATGGGAAGCTGAGAWTCCATAAATGCTATTTYCAAGGCCTCCCTTCTTTTTTCTAGTATAAGAGTTTTCTATAATAAAAAGCTAGTGATAATCTCAGAAGGGGCAGGAAACAAATCCAAGCTCCTTGCCAAAGCACTCCTTGTTTCATCAGCAGTGACCAGGTGGATACTCTTCCAATGAGAGAGAATGCAAAATTCAAAAAATAAAACAGAATTCACAGAGAGCAGCCAAGCWTTTCAAAGGCAACCAGGAGGAATCGTGGTTTGTGTGTAAAATATTGCTCAAAATGAAGTCAGAGAAAGTCAATTATACGAATGGCGGAGGAAAGCAAACCCAAGTTTTCAGCAATGCCTTCAGAACTGGCACTGCTGGTTGGGCTSCCCTGGGATGGAAAGGACCCTGTGGGTTTCCAGACAGCAAGARAGAGCTTTGGCTGCTCCTTCACCGTGTGAGAAATGAGCTCAAAACCCAGCACAACTGATCTTGTAATACAARTGTATTGTGATAAATCTGATAAATCTGGGCTCTGCTCTGAAGCACAGCGCAGGGTGCAGGAASAGATGCAGCTCCTTTCCCAGCAGCAGCCTGTGCTCAGCTGGGCAGAAAYAGCTCCAGCAGCTTCACTCACTGCCCAAACCATCCCAAAGCACCAAGACTTTACCCAGAACAATTAAAAATTCATTTCAAATCCATGTGCTTGGCCTGCTCTTGAGCCTCAGGCTGTCAGAGTGATCTGAACTGTGTGAAGCAGAGGTTTTCCTGCTGTTAAACCCTGCTAATTCCTGATGTTCTCCTCTGTACAGCACAGGATACTTCTCCATGAATTCCGCTGCAGAAAGCACTTTGATTAAAAATACATCAGAAACATTTTCTCATAAGAGTCCCCGGGATGTGAGCCACTGCTTTCTCCTCCTTTGTGCCACAAAGCTCTGAAAGCAGGTTCTGAAAGCAGATTCCACTGAATCAGAYACATCCATGGCATGAGGAAATAATAGGGAATATGTAATGCTGYTGGGGTGGGAACTGTGCTAGGAAAACAGGGGTGGGTGTAGAGTGTTTGAGGTGAAGGGTAGAGGAAAAATTCCCTGCTCACAGTACAGGTTGCACATTGGAGACACTGTCACTGACAGCACTGAAAATGGGCTGTGCCTGAACGTGTGCACTGAACAATGCATTGTGATGCACATCAGAAAGTCAAAAACGATAAAGGCTGACACTGCCTTGCATTGTAAAGCTTCTAAAACAACATCAAAACTGACTMTTGCCTTYTGCTCCTTTTCAGCCACTTCATTTMGTAAGYCATTATCACCAGGCTCCCAAAAACAGGAGCGCTTTGGTCACAGGCCAGCACTGATCTCTGGGTTATAAACTCCTTCCCTTTGCTGCAAGTTAAATACTAAGCTATTAGCTTCTAATGTCGAAAATCAATTTAGATAACACTGCAAATTTTGGGTCTAAAATGTAATAGGAAATCTCAATAATACATTTACTACCTCCCTCAAGGCCTGTTCCCATAGYAGACAATTAATACATCTGACCTGGCATTACTCAAACTCCCTTAGAACATCCTAGGTAGGAAAAAATTTTACTTAACTATCAATGAGCTACAAAATGACTGAGATGATTCTTAATTATATTTCATTACTGCAAATATTTGCCTCAATTAAGTTACCAGGGAGAGAGAATTGAAGTCAAATATTTCAGTAAGTAAAGTTAATAGTTGTGTAGTGGTTTCCCCACTAATGTTTGACTACCAGAAATTGAAACAGCAATTTAAAATCATTGTTTGGTTTTATACCCTCGGTGGATGTAATAACATGTAAATAATGATCTTACCACTCCTGGGAAGATTTTCTGCAGCCTGTCTGCTGCTGCCAGAGCCTTGGGCTTGCCCCCACTCAGGCAGTCCTCGAACTCGTAGAGCGGCTGCCGCACGGGGTTGGAGTAGGAGATCTTGGCATTGTCCACAAAAGTGATCTTCCTCACCCCCCAGCCCTAAGGGGGACACAATTTATTCATGAGCATTACAACAAATCTTTTTGAATAATGCCAGAAACTCAGCATTGAGTTTTGTCCAACTTTTGCAAATGATTCAAAGCAACTGAAACAAGGGAACAGAAAATTTGGTTGGTCTGAATATGGCATTTAACAGAAATTCCTCAAACTCTGCAGAATTCAGTGGGGTGTGGTGAGCATCCCTGAAAGGAATTATCAGCAAAGTTACTTCAAGTGCTTCACTTTGGTCTTTACAGCTTATTAATTTGTTCCAGAATTTCCTGTTCAATCTTTAATATAAATTCAAATAAAGTACTATTCTGCCAAGGTTCCCCTACTATCTCATATTAGCAGAACTTCAGTTATTTCCCTAAGCTACAGTTCTTCTCCCTTCCCTGCAATTTATTGTATCAACTAACGTGCCTTATGCATATTTTATTGCAGAAAATGTCATTTTTCTCTTATATGTCACAGCTGCTGGGCAAAAAAAAAAAGAAAAAGAAATACAGAATTTATGAGAAACATAAAATATTTTTAAGATTAACTCAAGACTTGCCATCAAGGTCCTTGCAACACTGCAGCCCAGTGTCCCAGCTCCCAGYAGCAGGCACTTGGCAGACACAATCTTTTCCAAATCCAGGGTAGGCACCAACCTCCAGCACATCAGCTTCAAATTCAGATCCACGGATGACTCTGCTAACCTGGAATAAATAACAACACTTCTGAACACTTTGTGAATCTCCAACAAAGCAGTCACTGGTAAATCAGCTGAATGAGTTAATTTTAGTTTTTTTTTTAAAGGAGAGACAGCATTCAGCAGTTTAGCACATAAGAAATATGAAAAACATACAAGGGCTTCTGAAAAAAAAAAAAACAAAAAACAATGTAAAACTAAAATTTTAGTAACAAAATGGATGCAAGCATGAAAATAAAAATAGTGTCTCAGCCAAGGTTCCTGCAAAGCTTAGGGGTAAAAACCAGATCATTTGTTCATAAAGTTTCATTTCTCTTTCAAACTGGTTTCCTGTGTCCAGTTACACCAGCCCTTATCAGGAAATATTCCACTTGTGCCCTAAAAAATGTGGGCAGTTCTTTGTGCAAGTTTAAAATGAGGCAGAAAATGTCTGTTCAAGCAAGTGGCAGATTTTTATATTCATCAGAACACAGAGTGTTAAAGCTTTCCTCAAGTCAGGTCACCACAGCTCTCAAATTCCTGGCAGTTTCAATCAATTAAATATCAGAAACAGAACTTTTTCAGCATCCAGTGAATTATTTGTCCAACAAGGATTTCAGATGGCAGCTGTCAATGCTGGCTTTYTACCAACCCCCTCTGTGGGAAGCCCAGAAGTGATCATTAATACAAGTACAGAAGATCAAGTTACATTTACCTAAAGAATTCAGAGCCTTGAGATGAACTTTCTCAAATGTCTATGAAGACACTGAGAAATTCCACAATTGCAAAATTAAAAATGGCTTTACTTGATGGACAAAATGTGAAACTGAGTCATGAGCCCAACAGGTTTTTCCAAGGCAAGGACACAGTTGCAAGCAGTGAAAGCTGACACTGTAACCCCACTCTTTTCAGTCAATTGCCCAAACATAATGTGCAAAATGATAAAAATTATTAAGGTCACATTTCCTGAGCTCTTTCTTGTCACACTGACAAATCCCAAAGGCTGAATTTGTCCCTGTGCTTACTTCCATGAACAACCTGCAGGTTACAGAATTCAGTGAAACCACCACAGGCCTGTAACACTCTGACCTACATTTCACTCAGTTTGAAATAAAATACATTTGAAAATTTTTGTTGGAGCCAAAAATTGCCAGTATTTCCACAGCAGGCAGTGCACTGCAAAAATAATGTCCCAACAATATGCAGTGTTGTGTATATTCTCACCTATTTCACATTTCAACTTGCTATGGATTAAGCCCAAGTGAAGAAAACTTTAGGAATTTCAAAGCTAATGAACAAACCTTTTGGGATCCATGCATTCACTGAGATTCACCATCCTTGGTCCCATGCCTCCCTTTTGGTTCTTCTCCCATCCTACAGCTTTTGGACAATCTGTTTGACATATTCAAAAAAAGGGAAGAAAAAAAGGAAAGAATGAAAGTCTTAATATCACATGACAGGAAAAAAAAAGAAACTTTATTGAATTGAACCCTGTTGGGAAAAAATTTATTCTAAACATGGCAGTAAATAACCTGAATTTTAACAACCTATTAAAACCTGCCACACACATGGAGCTGTTTACATCAGCTGAGAGTTCCTGGAGAATTYCTTTGCTCTCAGGTGTCCCATTGTGCTGCTTTTGCTGTTCAGCTTCACAGGCARGACAGGGATGGCAGCACTCCCCATCAGATCTTAATGTCAGGCTCAGTAAATTCAGAATTCTGCCAAGTTYCATCACCATTTAGAGCTCCCCAGACCCATCTGTAAATTCAGTGGAGAATTCTATCTTAATTAAATATAATTAAACCATCTGCAACAATGGCCTGGAAAGCATTCAGAACTTTGTGGATGAGGTAATTTTGTGATACTGTCCTGTATCCTGAAATTAAATCTGAGATTGTGTTCTGCCATTACAAATACATTGCTTTAAAATACACCTGAAAGTTATTATGGGATTGAAGGAATAGTTCCATTCTGGGACAGGTTTTTCCCATTTTAGAAATATTTTGAGAATTTAAGTTTGCATCACATAAATATGCTATCACATGCTTTTTTTTCCTACCTGAGAAATTGTGTACAAATTTAACCCAAAACAAACACCCCAAAACAAAACAAAAAAACCAGAAAAAAAACAGAAAAAAAAAGAAGAAAAAAAAAAAGGAAAAAAAAGAAAAGAAAAAAGAAGAGAAAAGGAAAAAAGGAGAAAGAAGTAAAGAAGAAGTAAAGAAAAAGGAAAAAAGGAGAAAGAAGTAAAGAAGAAG